TATATGGGGTAGCTGTTTCCCCGAGATGAAACTATGCCCCTCGACATAGCCTCGTCCGGGGATCCTCTCTGCCCGGATGCAGAGAGTTTGACTGGCAGAGCTGGAGACAAATCTCCAACTGCAGGGTAACTACCAATCGCCCCACGCGGTCAGATGTGACACAAGGCTGAGTTTATTGTGGGGGTATCCGAGCCCGTAGCCTCGGCCAAATTTCCCAGTAGACCCCGTATAAAAACGAGGTCGGGTATCTGTTTCCCGAGACGAGATTTGCCCTTCAACATAGCTGAGGCTGAGTTTGACCTGCACAGCTTGAGACGAATCTCCGAATGAAGACCAACATACAGTATTTACTACTGTATTTATGTGAATGGGGACATACCAATTATCGTTCATAGGTATGCTACAACAAAAACCATGAAGGGAAAGTGTGTAGCGCGTAATTGTTTCGCCACACCACAGTTTCCATCAGTAACCATTCAATCTTGTTCAGCAGTTTTTGGCTAAAACAAATATTCCAAAGGTCCTACTACCAGTATATTCAACAAATATCGTATTTGCAACATTTTATTTTTACAGATAACATGTCGCTTGAAAAGAAACAAGATTTCAACACCACCAATAGAGGCAAGAAAATGTGATGAGGCAAATGCTTGATATCCCCCACCTCCAAGAAAGCAGTTCCAGGAATGTTTCTATCAATGGAAATGATGATGGTTAAAGTGTGCAGCTTTAGAAGAGGACTACTTCTGTGGTTTAAATGAGTCTCTATTATTACGACGTCATTTGTACAAAACAAGTTACCGCTGGTTCAATCCTCCGTTCTTGCTTTCTGAGCACATCAGAACGTCAATCCTTTTATTCTTTTGCACTTTTCATTGCTTCAGAACCTCTCTTATGAGACCAACACCGCCGTCGACCAACCAATCAGTGTTCTTCGCTTTTATTCTCAATTACCCAGGCAAATAGCCTCCTCCAGTTCGACCAATCAGCACACGACTTGCTATTGGTGGAAGCATGCCAAAATGTACAAAAAAACCTCGTTACCACACATACTGCTGAAGTTGCTAGACGGAAGATTGGGCAGGATCTACTAACATCACTTATGTTTAGTTTACTTTGTGTTTATATTTAGTTTGTTTTAGGGCCCATTCCCTCCCTTCTCATTCTACTCATCCATAAATTTTTAAGTATATGTTTTATAATAGAATAATCAACCAAGGGTTGGTAATGAACGATAATACTTAGGACAAGAACAACACATATAAGATTTGCCAGCTGCGCGTAGATATAGTCAACTGCTAGAAGTGAGTCAAGTGAACTCGACAATGAATCTCCAACTGCAGGATATCTACCAACCGCCCCACGCGGTCAGATGTGACACAAGGCAGGATCTAATGTGGATTATCCGGTCCCGTATGCTCGGCCAAAAATTCCGCGTAGAAAAAGGGGTGGGGTAGCTGTTTCCCCGAGATGAAACTATGCCCCTCGACATAGCCTCGTCCGGGGATCCTCTCTGCCCGGATGCAGAGAGTTTGACTGGCAGAGCTGGAGACAAATCTCCAACTGCAGGATAACTACCAATCGCCCCACGCGGTCAGATGTGACACAAGGCTGAGTTTATTGTGGGGGTATCCGAGCCCGTAGCCTTGGCCAAATTTTACAGTAGACCCCGTATAAAAACGAGGTCGGGTATCTGTTTCCCGAGACGAGATTTGCCCTTCAACATAGCTGAGGCTGAGTTTGACCTGCACAGCTTGAGACGAATCTCCGAATGAAGACCAACATACAGTATTTACTACTGTATTTATGTGAATGGGGACATACCAATTATCGTTCATAGGTATGCTACAACAAAAACCATGAAGGGAAAGTGTGTAGCGCGTAATTGTTTCGCCACACCACAGTTTCCATCAGTAACCATGGCTTGTTCAGCAGTTTTGGGCTAGGCAAAATATTCCAAAGGTCCTACTACCAGTATATTCAACAAATATCGTACTTTGCAACATTTACTTCTTTACAGATAACATGTCGCTTGAAAGGAACAAGATTTCAACACCACGAGAGAGGCAAGAAAATGTGATGAGGCAGCTGCTTAATATCCTCCACCTCCAAGAAAGCAGTTCCTGGAATTTTTCTATCAATGGAAATGATGATGGTTAAAGGTGTGCAGCTTTAGAAGAGGACTACTTCTGTGGTTTAAATAAGTCTCTATTATTACGACGTCACTTGTACAAAACAAGTTACCGCTGGTTCAATCCTCCGTTCTTGCTTTCTGAGCACATCAGAACGTCAATCCTTTTATTCTTTTGCTCTTTTCATTGCTTCAGAACCTCTCTTATGAGACCAACACCGCCGTCGACCAACCAATCAGTGTTCTTCGCTTTTATTCTCAATTACCCAGGCAAATAGCCTCCTCCAGTTCGACCAATCAGCACACGACTTGCTATTGGTGGAAGCATGCCAAAATGTACAAAAAAACCTCGTTACCACACATACTGCTGAAGTTGCTAGACGGGAGATTGGACGGGCTCTACTAACATCACTTATGTTTAGTTTACTTTGTGTTTATATTTAGTTTGTTTTAGGGCCCATTTCCTCCCTTATCATTCTACTCATACATAAATTTTTAAGTATATGTTTTATAATCATTAGATTTTTTTATGGCATGGGGGGTGCATTTTGTAGGTTTCCCCTTGAGAGGATGCGGTATTATGGTTTATGGAGGATTGAATGGTGACGGAAGAGTTCTTATGGTGAATGTGGAAATTGTAATGTGTGAATGGGTCGTGAATCAGAGTAGCTAGGTATAAGATAGTTAGTGATAACCAGCCTCAACCCTTCCTCATTTTGGCCTTGTGCCCTAATTGTATTTTAAATACAATAAATAATAGTTGCTAAACGGGAGAGTAATACCATTTTCACGGAGCAGACTTGCCGATGTCACGTACCGTACGTTAAGGTAAGACCCTTATTTTCCTATACACCAGATGCAAGCCACTCGCTTGCTTCTACGGGACTGCTTTCCACAACTTTGAAGGAAATTAAATGCTGAATTAATATGTGTTTTATTTTTATTTTTATAGCACCAGTTCTGACACTTTTGGATTAGACCTAGTAAGTTATGTCGATGCAATTGCATCTCAGTGAATGTGTAATATTAGTTGCAAACGTTCTAGATTAAAAGAATAAAAATATTATTATTCTTTTTATTTTACAAATGAATACGGCTTAAATAATAAACAAACTGGCTTAGGACGAAATAAATAAGTTATTTGTATATGACGATGCTGTTTGGCCAGAGTCCCGAGGGAATGTGTAATATTAGTTGCAAACGTTCTGGATTAAAAGAATAAAAATATTCTTCTTCTTTTTATTTTAGAAATGAATACAGCTTAAATAGTAAACTAATAGGTTTGGGATTAGCCGAATAAATCATTTGATTACTTTAGTAGCCAGCGTTCAGAGAATATCTGAAGCGTTAGTTAAAATCCCTGCGTATTAAGAGTGCAAAATTATTCTTATTCCGTTAATGTTAGAAGAGGATAAAAGTAAATCCATTTTTTAAATAAAAGCTTGCATTAAAGAAACGTTTTCGAAATTTCGTATGTTGATTATCGCAGTTTCAAAATGTAAAAATACGTATATATGCCCCACCCTGAATCTATGATACGGGGCCTCCCCACGTTAATACATCTTAATGTCGAATACATATGGAATACAAATTTTATTGTAACCTTATAATGTAAAATTATGGACGTTAAGGGAATGTGTTTTTTTTTTGTGTGTGAATGAACGTTCTGGGTCATTTGACGTAGTCGGATTACCTTACAAATGGAAGTCTTTGATCTGATTATTCGTGGTTGGCGCCAATATTAAGCGAGTGGCCTGGCAAAGTCAGTAGTTGCCGAAACCTGCTTTTTAGTAGGGTATTATTTTTCCAGATGTCAATACATATATATCCAAATTTATAACACACACACACACACACACATATATATATATATATATATATATATATATATATATATATATATATATATATATATGCAGAAAGAGGGTCAGTTGTTGCCACTGAAACCTGAAGGAATAATCAGTAGGGTATTATTTTTCCAGATGTCAATATTATATACCCAAATTTATAAAACACACACACACACAATATATATATATATATATATATATATATATATATATATATATATATATATTAGATAAGAAAGAAAAAGAGTCAGTTGTTACCGAAACCTGCTTCAAAACTGAAATTATATATTATTTTTCCAGATGTCAATAATTTATAGCTATGTCAAGAATATATACCCAAATTTATAACATATATATAAAATATATATATATATATATATATATATATATATATATATATATATGATCATGATGTGGTATTATGATTATTTATTGCCATATTTACAACGTTTTGGCCGTTGTAAGATCCAACTTCTTCAGGTGATTGCGTCTCAGAGATGAGTTATTATGATTACTTACACTATTTACCATAATATTTATTGCCATATTTACAACGTTTCGGCCTTTGTACGCTCCGGCCTTCTTCAGGTGATTGGATCTCTAAGATGTGTTATTATTCAGATATTATCTTGATAAGTCCCAAAAATTCATACACAACCCAGTAGATAAAGACGTTGGTTAGATACACTACCTAGACCCATAGAGTTATGAGCTCAATACCAGGCCACAGCAGTGTCGAACCAAACTTGGAGAGTTAAAGGGAAATGACTGAGACATTTGGAAGAGGCATGGCACATGGAACTAGAACAATCTACCCCGGTGGAGGAAATAAAGGGTTTGGTTCGAAATTCCAATCACCTGAAGAAGGTGATACAACGGCCGAAACGTTGTGAGGGTAACATAATAATGTAAATGATGTATGTCATTATTTGTATCAATGCAAAGTACCACTGTGTGTTTGTGTGTATTTGTGTGTGTGTGTGTGTGTGTGTGTGTGTGTGTGTGTTGTGATGCGCGACGTGGTTCGGTTAAATAAAAAGTCAGTTTGCTCGATGACGAAGAGGTCTTTTCGGTTGTGAAGCGAAATGGGCGTTGTCAGCATCTTTCTTATGGTTGAGAGAGATAGAGACTGAGAAGTGAGGGGGGGAATTAGATGGATTAAGAAACCTCCCCGCATATTAGAGAATTGGTTTTTTTTTTTTTTTCCTAGATCTTTATATAGACGCGTAGAATTAGCACAATCTACCCCGGGGGACGAAATAGTTCGAAATTCCAATCACCTGAAGAAGGCCAGAGCGTACAACGGCCGAAACGTTGTGAGGGTAACATAATAATGTAAGTAATGTATGTCTAGCGGGCGTTAATACAAAGTTGATTAATCCCACAAGTGAAACTAATTTTCTCATGTGAAAGTATTGTTCATCAGATATGAATTACTCGTCATTGAAAAGCATGTTTTGGTCAAAATATTCTCGACCAGAGTTCAAACCCTGGTATATTGAGTCGCTCCATTCTCTTGAGAAGAGATGGATTCATATCTTTCCCACGGGTATTAGCATGTAAGTAAATATAATGAACTCGACCTGCATTCGAACTTCACTCGCCGATTCCTCCATCGGAGATGTTAACAATTACCCTACCCTGCCTCCTCAAAAATTCATATGCAGACCAAAGTCAATACCTTCCCTGTTTTCAGACAACGAAATATCTTCGACCGATGTTTTTGTTTTTGTTCTTCTAGAATCAGAGGTGGATTTGCCTAAATAAGCAGGATCCTACAAGGCAGCAGGCGGTTTGAATTCAGAATTTCTTTCTTCTAGTCTGGTCGGCAAACAAGCCTATAAGAATCCGACTGTCGTGCTAGTTTACCCACAGGGATAAAATTGATAGATTCATACCATTCCAACATAAGTGAATGTGATGAACCCAAAAAAATTTTTCGAACGCGGATCTCCCATTCTGTCCGAAACCGTTGCCCCATCGTTCCTATATTATATAGCTGGTTGGAAAAAACAAAGAAAATTTCGAGATTCAGTTTGCAGTAATTAATCTATTTCTATCGTTTCGGATTTCTAGGCGAATCAAACGAAAAAGAAGCCGCCATGTTTGCATTTATTTGAAATCACTTGTGAATTGCCGCCTTTTTAAATGTCTGTCTCTGGCAAAGGATATTTAACAGAATTTTCTTCTTCCTCTTTTTTTTATTTTTCTGGGTTGAATATTTCGAAAATGCAAGAGAGCCTCATAGATCATATGATTCAGGGGCAAAGAAGAAAGTTTCCGCCAAGAAAAGTAAACAAATAAATTAATAAAACTAAAGACGATTAAATAAATAAATAAAATACGAACAAATTCGCAGGAAGTCGTGTTATTTTAAAATTATTGATTTAACTTTCGCCGATAAAGATAGAATAACAATTAAAAAAGAAAAAGAAAGGAACACAAAAATGATTTCTTACTGATTTAAATCGATTTCATGTTACGTGACGCAGCAGACATTAAATTTCCATGATTGAAAATTAAAATTCAAGAGAAATTAAAAAAAAAAAAAACGTATATTTATTTTGATCTTTTCAGAGGTTCCTGCCACTAGAGGGTAAAGATTTTAAATGAAACAAATATGATGGTCAAGGTCATTAATACAAAGTGATAATTACAGCCAAAATTATAAATATAAAGCTTAATAAAGATAAGCTCCAATGTTCTCAGGTGCCATTATTCTGCTGTTTCGTAATTAAAACAGAGATTTTTGAACTGGATGTCACAGAGAAATTTTGCGAAAGTAATGCCTGGTATACACAAGATTTTAATAGCAAAATGAAACAGAACCTACCAATATGAAAAGAAAATTCTCATGACTTCAAATCCAATCTTCAATATAGTTTCCTTTATACTAATTCCTGGTACCAAGCTCTGTTCAAAAGTAAAACCTGTTATTCTTTAATTATAACAGAATCCATAATCGAAGAATATAACTCATACAAAAATGAACACTACATTAATCGGACTATTGTCCTCATCTTTGTCGCCATATTTATTACAACGTTTCGGCCGTTGTACGCTCCGGCCTTCTTCAGATGGTTGGAATGTCGAACTGAACCCTTTATTTCGCTCACGAGGTTAGATTAATCTCCTGTTAATTTCCCTCTGAAAGTTATCCACTGCCTTAATGAACTCGCGCTCTTTGGGTCCTGTCACTGGATCTAGCCAACTCCTTTATCCACTGTGCCATGTGTCCTTGAGGACATCTTTGTATGAATTTCTGGGTATTATAAACCTAATGTCTTCAGCAACTGTTTTTTACCAGTGCTCATATTGCAATTCTTGCTATTATCATCATGTTTTTACCAGAGCTCATATTGCAATTTTTGTTGTTATTACCGCTTTTCTCTGGCACTGCTTATTACTGGTTCCCATATTGTATTCATTTCTGTGCTTGGTCGGCTGACGAGATTTTTGTGGCCTAGCATATGTGCTGATTCCTTAAGTTTACGAATTTTCCAATGGTGTTCTTTGTCTATGATCTCAACCTGATTCCACAGAGGGTGGTGATTTCCCTTCTCTCTCCATATGTTGTCAGCCACGCCTTATTTTTCCACTTCCCCTCGTGTTACAGATTTCTGGTGTTCTTGAAGCCTTACTTTGAGGGGGCGGCCTGTCTCTCCTTTATATTCCTTTCCGTAGCTGCACGGGATAGCGTACACACAGTCTTTAGTCATGTTCTCCTCTATGGGGGGGTCTTACTCGGGAGACATATCTGCGAAGTGTCGTCAAGCTTTTGAAGGTTGTCCTGATTTTATATGCACCGCAGATCCTTTGTATTTTCTCTGATAACCCCTTCACATAATGCAGGCAGACTGTTTTCTGAGTGTTGTTGTCCTCCTGTTGTACTCGCCTATCCCAGTTTTATGGGGCTGTTACCATGTACCCAGGTTAGTTGTTACGCTATAGGGTACTACTTATAATGACCAATTCTTTATCTAATGTCTCTGGGTCGCCACTTATGACTTTTGCTCAGTGTTGTAAGCATCGGACGATCCCTTTCTTTACGCTGTATGAATGGTGGGAGTTGAAATTGAGGAACTGTCCGGTGAATGTCGGTTTACGGTATACGGATGTCTTGAATCCATGCTCTGTTCGAGATATTAGAACATCCAGGAATGGGAGTGTGCTGTTACTCTCTTTCTCCATTGTGTATTTCACAATTGATTTCGTCGAGTGCTAATAAGAACGCATTGATAGCAATACAAATTTTTTTTGAAGATAAAATTAATGAATTTTTCAAAAACGTCCGCCCTTACCAATCATATATCATAATTAACACCCCTGTCTCATGATTCCAAACTCAGTCCTCATCACTGTTTGCTTTCTTCTAAGTTCTGGGACAAAGTTCGGTTAAAATTTAATGCCTGTTCTTTAATTCCAACAACTTTTGAGAGTAACAGCACAAAGAACAAACCAACCAGGAAGAATCCTAAAATCTACTTCTTAAAATAGTCTTCTTCTTTCTCAGATTTGGTACGTGGGCCAGTCAAAAAATAATGCCTGTGAATCTTTAATATATTTTTTTTTCATTTCATCTCAAGCAAGGCGGTAATGCCACACGAAATGTTTGTAATTTGCTACCAGAGTCGGCCTGATTCCAAAATGGTATAATATATTGGGCTACGCCCTCTTGGAGAAAATTAAAAAAGTGTGACACACTGACATTTGCATTTATTTATATAGATTATGATGCGAGACTTGATCAAAAATAATGTCTATTCTCTTAATTACAACAAATTTAAATAAAAGTCTCAGAATCCCAAATAAAATTTTGAAGCATTATTTTAAATTTTAAACTGGCTGATGAATCTACTAAGGTTGCTAGCAGAATTCTGAAGCGTGTTGTGTGGGAAAAGAATTATATATATATATATATATATATATATATATATATATATAAAATCACGTAATGTCCTGGGTATGACGGTAAACTACATCCGGCAGCAAGTCTTCTCATCGGGAGATTGGAGGATTTAAGGAGCGTGGAACCACATCGTAATTGCTGTTGTTCCCAGGTCCACCCTGACCTGTTAGGCTCCCAACTATGGGCAAATAGTGTCTACCAGGGCTGACCAAGCTCTTTAGTGTTATAGAACACGATTGGTCTAGGAGATTGGTCTGAGGTATATTGTCTGCTTTGGCTGTGCCATTTATTTGCACCCATTAAGTGTATCAAAAGTTCTGAAAAGTGTGGATGGTTCTGCAAAAGCCCACACCACTTTAATCAAATCACTTGTGTGGATTTTCTGGCGGTTTACCTTGATTCATTCTTATCCAAAATCCTCACACTTGCTCCATATGTGGCTTCCTTTGTAAATCGCTAGCGGGTCATAAATGCCACTTAAGATTATCGCACAAACTTTCAAAACTGAATAATAAGCTGTCAGGAGAGTCCATTATATATATATATATATATATATATATATATATATATATATATATATATATATACAATCTGCTTGTCTGAGTCATCTTCGAGAAGTGAGAGCAAGATCTAAAAGGTCAGCCAATCTAACAGCGATCTCATCTCACAATCCTCACACTTGCTCCATGTGTTGACTCCTTTGTAAATCACTAGCGGTTCATAAATGCCACTTAAGATTATCGCACAATCGTTCATGACTAAATCAATAAGCTATCAGATCCTCATACGTCGAAACCGACGGGAGAGTCCATTATATATATATATATATATATATATATATATATATATATAGATATATATATATATAGATATATATATATCCGGTGGAGTAATGGATATTACGTGCTAATACCCGTGGTAAAGGTATGAATTCTCTTCTTCTCCCTCAGCTATGGGTAAATAGCAGGACAGACTGGGTTCTATAGCCTTTGATGTTAACTGGTCTAGGTCTAGGAAAAGGACAACTCAGAATTCAAAGCCTTCAGAGGGTCGTCTTGGGACCTTGTGGCACGTGCTGCACCAGGTCTCTGTATTCAGCCCTTCAAAAAGTGTAGTTGGTTCTGCATCAATCTTTCACCACTATAATCCAATCATATGTGCAGGTTGTCTGGATGCCGCTTGCCAGGAACTGAGGTGCCTGACACTAATACGTCGTAAAAATGCACCCCCCCGGTAGGCGCGAGTCAACAGCCCACGTCAATCAACGA